CCCCTGCATTTAAATCATTGATCTGTGAATTGTTTGCTTTGATCAACTTGTTATACATGTGCACTGTTTCTTTGTTTTTTGTGGTTGTGGGTGTTGTTTGGGCCGGTTAGGGGTTGTTTCAGTGTATCTGTGTTGATATTTATAGTTACCTAGGGACCGATGTCGTGAAACCATGACTTCGGATTGAGCTGAACGTCTGTCCATTTGTACATGAAGAATTACTTGCAAGTTTTTCACTTATTTCCCATTCTGAGACTTTAAATGCGAGTTGCAGCCTGCTTTGAGGGATGAAAAGCTACTTACCCTCGACTTTCATGATCATGTGCTTGGTCTGCTCTTTGAATCCTGGTACAATTTACAAGGTTGGGATTAGATATTTGGTTTTGCTACGTGTAATTTGTGGAACATCATGGCTGTAGAAAATTTCACACCACCAACTAGGGAGGGACAGCCAGACAGCCAGAACTGAGAGTTGGATTGGAATCTGTCCATTGTGGGTCAACTATTTTGCAACCTGGTGTCCTAAGATGGTAACATATGGTACAAGTTGCAGTGAGAATCAATTCAAAGCCCTTGATTCTTGCCTTTGATCTCTGATATATAATTTTGGCTACTTGCAAAGATGAAGGAATCCATCAGCCAAAAATAATGCAAGCCATGGGACCAATGGGTCCTAACAGTGTTGTCCTATTCCTGGATTGGCTTGCATTTTTCTATTCCTAAAGTGGATTGGAATCCCTACATCCTTCTCAACGTATGTGACATTCTCTACGTTCTTGATTGAGAAACCCATCCTAATTGGGCATTTAGCTAAGCTTAGATTAAGCAGACTGAGAATGACATCTCGGTCAAATGATAAGAGTGATAGATTAAGATTGACATTGTGCAGTATTAGTTGTGATGGCCACGTCTCTTGCACCCTTAACAAACAACCTCATGAAATTGAATCACAAAGTGATGAATCAAAGTAATACAACAGAGGGAGAAAAACACTATGCATGTGATTTATCCCCTGCATTTGAGATGCAAACAAGGTAATAATTGGTTGGGAAAAATGATTAGTATTCTATGACACTTATATTTGCTATGAAATAGAAATATGTAATTATATACCTATTTAGTTGGCTTTTTCCATCACATAGAAGTTTATTGAATATGATTATTACGATTCATTATAAAGTCGTACCAACTTATATAATTTCTTCCCATATACAAGAAGAAATACAATAAAAATTTTCGAATTGAGTTTAGAACCATATTGTTGAGTTTCTTTGTTTGATTAAAATTCTAATTCCTATTCAATATTAAACAATTATATAATTTTAAACTTCTTATCTCCCATTAAAGCTCTGTTTGATAATTGAAAAATAATTTGCTTTGTAATTGAAAAGAGCATTTTCGTTTAACTCCTGTTTCAAGCGGCACCATTTCAATATTCATATAGATGGAATGTGTTATTATGCCCTTGTTACTATAGGCATTTAATATGTTCAATAAAAGCCTTTTGCTCATCTTCTCCTTATAACAGTCACATTGAATATTCTAGAATGTGGTTATCTAATATTAAAATTCAGTGCATGATAACAACATATAGTAACCTGTTATTACCAATTGAACTTTTATTGATGGTTTGCTAACTCCAAGTTGGGTTTCCATACTAGCGCATTTATGTCAAGGGTTTTAGCCTTATTCCACTAGATGTTTATTTTACAACCTATTAGCAAAGCTTTAGTAAGTGTATCAGTCAAATTCTTGTAAGATTTAACGTAAATTATTGTTATAATGCCATTTGAGATTAATTCTCTTATGTAGGTATGTCACAGACTTATGTATCTAGACTTTTCATTATAAATCGTATTGTGGCTATACACATAGTAGCCTCAATATCACAATATATGGAAATGGTTGGTATCAATTGTGGCCACAACTTTATATCTAATAACAAAATTCTCTGCCATTTCGTTTCCTTTCTAGTAGCTCCTAAAGTTAAAAATTCAAATTCCATTGTGGAATGCGTAATACAAGTCTACTTCTTAGATGCCCAACTAATAGCACCACCTTTATTCACAGGTGAAATTATTCATTTTGAAGGATGAGGTTTGAAAACTTTATTCAATCCATAGGTTTAGATTTACGGGATAATATTAAGGTGTTATGCTATTTTTAAATGAGACTACGACACTTGAGGACAACACTGCAACGTTGGAGGTTGACAATGCAACGCTCGAGGATAATAATGCATCTGATGAGCGAAATGAGGATTTGTTCCTTCTTAGTGAAGATAGATTTGATAACAATTCAGATGATGGGCCTGATGAATGGCATGATGATAGTTTAGACAATAACTGGCATTATGACAGTGACATTCCAATTTGCAATAATGTTGAAGGCGAAATGGAACTTATTGGAGGAGTTGATGTAAGAGATGTTCAATGTGATGACCCCATATACAATAACCCCATCACCAGTGAGAACAAGATTCGCTTGCTTGAGACATTACTAGATGATAGCTATCAGGAAAGGAAAAATGCAAGGATATCTCTTACGTAGCTAATTCCAAGTGCAGAAAAATTATCCTTTCAAACAATTACCATTGAGGAGTCCATATGTGCCAATGATCACTTATACAAAGGAATAATTTTTCCTTAAAGGCCGAGTTGAAATGAGCTTTGAACATATTGGCTCTAAAAGAGCAATTCGAGATAAGAGTAAAAAGGTCATGTAAAGGTTGTTTTGAGGTTAATTACAAAGGCAAGGCATGCAAGTTCAGTGTGCGTGCAATAAAGTTACTACATTGAGACCTAAGGACATAATTGGTGAGATGAAAGTTCAGTGGGGATTGGAATGCTTATATGATAAAACTTGTCAAGCGAAGGAATGTGCGGAAAGGCTTGTTTTCAGTCCCCTGGAGGAGTCATTTCAACTACTACCTTCGTATTTTTATATGTTGGAACAAGAAAATCTTGGCATAGTCACTACATTGGCTACTAATGAGGCATAAAGATTCAAATATTATTTTTGATCATACGGGGCTTGTATCCAAGAATTTAAGGATGTAATGTGTCTTATAGTTGCAATTGATACGACACATCTAAGAGATAGGTTCAAGGGTGTTCTGTTTGTCACTGTATGCAAAGATGCGAACAAGTGCATATATCCAGTTGCATTTGGCATAGGCCATGTTGAGGACAAAAACTCGTGGACGTGGTTTCTTAGCAAGCTACATGATGAGGTTGGTTGTCTTGAAAACACTATGTTCATTTCTAACCAGCATCTCGGTATTAAGAAAGCAATCCAAAATGCATACACAGAAATGCACCATAGTTTATACAGTTATTACTTAAACAAAAACTTTAAAAACAAGTTCAAGCGTGACGATGTTTTTATGATTTTCACCTTTGCTCAAGATTGTTATAAGGTTTCTAATTTCAACAGACATATGAACTAGCTCAAGTAGATTCACACAGGAGCTCACTATAACCTTATGAGAATAAGCCCTAAGAGATGGGCACTTGCATGTTCACCCACAAGGCGATACCAACTCATGACATCCAACATTGCGAAATATGTTAACTCATGCTTGAAGCATGCAAGACAAATGCCAATCACTATTTTGATCGAGTTTATTAGAGACATGTTCTAGCGTTGGTTCCATGATCAGTACGAGGAAACCGTCAAGGTAATCATGCCCCTCAGCCCTTAAGTTGCTAAGCCGTTGAGCAAACAGTTCAATGATGCATATCGTTTTGTAGTTAAACCTATCAGCCGAGTGGAGTTCAAAGTTAAAGTTAGAAAAATGGATGAACTTGTAAACCTATCTAGGAAGACGTGCTCATGTTGTGAGTTTCAGATAGATCTACTACCTTGCAACTATGCCATTACGGCAATAAGGTCAGATATCTTTATTTTTTATTTGAACATTAATTGACATAGCATTTACATTGTGCTTGAACATTGAGTTCATTGTATTTTTTTAGTAAATGCAAACGTGAACCTATTAATTTTTGCGCAGACTATTACAAGACAACCATTTTGGTGGCAGGTTATGCGGGGTCCATTCGCTTGGTAACACATCTCAGTGACTGGGACATCCCCCTTCATGTGAAACAAATTGTCGTTTTGCCACCACCTTGGCGAGGCCAAGCGAGAAGACCTAGAAGGAAAAAGATTCCATCTATTGGTAAAGACAATCGAGCGCGAAAATGTTTGCAATGCAAAAGGTGCAAGCATAATAGACAAAATTGACCATCCCCATTTGTAGTTCCATCAACAAATCCGACACCATTTTCAAGTCAATTGGCACCTCCACGAGTGCGACAACAGAAAGCATGTTCAATTAGCAGACAAACCGATCACACACGCAACATTTGTCCAATACAAAGGACAATGTTTGAAAGCGTAAGATGTCTTGTAGATGAAGACAGTTTGTCGACCTAACTAAATGTGTGAGCCATGTGCAATACTTTTTTTACAATTTCCTCTTGTAGTTTCTTACATTCATTCATATTTTGTGTTTGTTAATTAATAACGGACTAAGAAAAAATGTCGTCGTTGTATCCATGTACGGACCCACGTTGGAAGGAGTGGTGTACATATATTATGAGTCTTTATTTTTTTATTTATTTTGTAGATATTATTTGATTACTTGAATTTAGTATTTAATTTTAATCAGTGAATAGAGAATTATCATATTGTTTGTTACTAAACCTGATAATTTTCTATGTAATATCATATATTATTTAATTTATGTCGATGGGTATAATTTTTAATAATTTTTATAATTAATTTTAGATAAATACGTCATGAAAAGATACTGTACAGAAAAATGATCTCATTGGACTCAGATTTTGGGTAACAATAACAAATAACATTCTTTTCATAAAACTGCATCATTTTGGACCCTTCTTCCCTTTCTTATTTTTTTCATTCTTTCCATAAAACTGCATCATTTTGAGAAAAAGGTTCTAAAGGGCTTTTATGGTTATGATTTTTGAGAGTATAAGAAAGTTCCAAAACGACATAGTTCTATGAAAAGAAAGACAAAAATAAGAACGAAAAAGAAAGAAGAAAAGAAATTCAAGTAAGGTATTATTAAATGTAAGAGTTTAGGTGTTAGGGTCAAGACATTGGTTTATTTGTTAGAAGTCTTAGGTTCGAACCTCAATTAGTGCATCTTTTGAAAAATAAATTCCACTTGTCAACAT